TTTGCATGCAAGCCCTTGTCATTTGGGACCTTTGAGCTGGGAAGAGCTTAGGTGAACCACCCGTTACAAGTAAAAGGCTAAGGCTTTAATTTTGGAGTTTCCGCCCCCTCAACTGTGTTGGACATTTAAGCGACCCACAAAACAGTCACATTCAACAGAATTACTGCCTCTTGCCGGCAACCCTTTGTGTGACTGTTTTCGCACGAACTTTGTTTGTAAAGAAGTTATCTTTAAAAAAAGGCTCAGGTGATATCCCCAACAGCACATGCATCCACGGACCCGCTAACCCTCGTGGAACCCTCCTGGAACCGTCGCGGAACTTGTGGAACCCTCGGAACCCTCGCAGAACCCTCCTCGGAATCGCCCCGTGCATCCTCGCAACCCTCGCAGAAGCCTTGCAGAACCCTCGCAAAACCCTCGCAGAACCCTTCTGGAACCCCAGCGCTGTCAGCTGTTGGAGGAAAAATGATGGTTTGGGGACCATTAAAGAAAGGAATTCCTCATGTTTGCCCGGATCTGTTTGGCCGTTGTGTTGGTGCCGACTTGTTTGCCCGTGTTTTTACCGTGGTTTTTGTTTATCCGGCAAACACCGTGATATAAAAGGACTGTATCCGATCCGTGGGGGGATCGTGTTTAACCCGAGCAAACTTGAAATAATTCAGGGTACCGATATTAAACCAGGTGCGACATTACACGATGGCAACGGCCATGAGTACGCAACTACCACAAATACGACGAATCTCGCGAGTTTGTGATTTAGATTTGGCTTGCATACGCACGATGGGATCATGGAACAGTTCAGTATTCCTCAACCAGAAAGGTCCCACATTCGTCATGATTCAAGTTGCACTCAAGCATGTGCTTGCATTCGGAGTGCACAACCTGGATGATCATGGATCTAGATGGGTCACACTTTCCCAGGCACTCCGCTTCTTTCCGTAAGAATTCCTCCGTTGCCACAAAGTTTGGCCGAGGCTTGCATGCCTCAACCTCGTATCTGAATATGCCGTAACTTAGATGGTGTATGGGTGAGCACAACCCTGAAAACTAAGATCGAACCCAAGGGGACGCCTAGCAGGAACTCCTCCAACAATGGGTCTGCCGTTTTCTGTTGAGGCAAATGGAGACCAAAGGGACGCAACCCCGGTCTCTTGCTGGCAGCAGGGAATGAGGGAATGCCGCCTATAAACCATCCCCTACAGTGTCCTGAAAGGGAATCCCCAGGTTCATTCCCAAACCCAGAAGGTCATCCATTTGTGAGCACCAGCAAGTTTTGGGGGCGTTCCCTATGTTAAGACACACCCAAATGGCCGTGGGTCAAAACCAATGGTACCATTTTGGGATATTTTGGGGTAGGTGCGCCACCCAATTTTAGTCTATTTTAGTGGAGATTGGGATGTTCACTGGGGGTACGATTTGGATTTTGACCCATGGCCAAATGGGTATTCCCCAAGAAATCGGCAGGCAGCACGGTGAGTAGATGTTGGTGTGAGGGATGAACTCCCAAGCGAACTCCGCTTCCTCCTTGCAGGCGTGGCTTCGTCCACTGGGCATGCTGGGTCCATGGAAGCCAAGATGAAACAACTCCTCAGGATGGGGAGTTTTGATACATAAGTCGCATTCTTCAGTAACACCAAGCGACTTTGCAATCGGAACGAAGAAAAGGCAACATCGCCTGTACAGCCAGTTATAGAAACACAATTGCAGACACTGCGACTTTCGGCACGGTCCGCAGAGGATGCAAAGTGTTCAAACAAACGGCCTGCGATCTAAGTGATCCGTGGTGCAACACTTTTGCTGAATTAGCATCTATATTCTTCACATCCCAACATTTTTCCCAGTGTGGAACGTTACATATATGATATGGAAAGTCCCCCAACTGAATCAACAGGATTCTCAGAAGGTTGTGTAACCTAGGGTTTCAGTTTCCGAGCTCAGCGTCAAGGTTACTTGAAAGAACTCCAAAGACCTGGTTTTTCGCCACACATAATTAATTGCAACACTTCTTGTATGTCTAAACCAAACACCTCATCTTGAACTTGAACACATCCTTCCACAGCCCGCCCCCCTTTCCTCAATAGCCACACCCACAAAAACGTGTGCGTGCATGCGCGCGGGCATGTGAGTGTGAGTGATGTGTGAGTGTGAGAGTGTCTGAGTCTGAGTAAGAGTAAGATAGAGACAGAGAGAGCGAGAGTAAGAGTTGAGGGAGTGAGTGAGGGAGTGTTGGAGTGAGGGAGTCAGGGGCAGTGTGGGAGGGGAGGAAAGGGGAGGGGAGGGGGAGGGCAGGGAGGGGAGTTAGTGCGAGAGTGAGTGGTGAGGTTGTCTTTGTTTGTATTCAAGTGCGTGCAGTGCGCGTGTCGCTTGAGCTGGAGGCCCGTCCTTTGGCAGCTTGACGTACAGGTTTGAGCCCTGCTCTTCCTGCGGATCTGGAGGTGAAGGTCGGCTGTTTCAGGGAAGCGAAAGGCTCAACCGACATATCTCGAAGGAATGTGCAACCGGTGCCAAGCTGACCGGTGCTGATTTAACCTATGGAGACGATGGCGTGGTCAGACCTCGGACATTGGCCGAGGCCGCCCTACGGTCACGCAAACAGAGGCAGTTGCTGTCATTGCTTCCAAAGACAGTTGAGCAGTGATCAAATCAGAAGTGCGAAACACCCACAGAATATTGTCAAAACCCCACTGGTCCACAAACACAAGACACCAACTCTATACTGAAACCATATCTGAAGTGATGGGATTTCCTGCCAGAGAAGCTTCAAGTGGACTGACAAGGGACTGTGGGGCTTCATGGCTTCAACTGTCCGAGCGCCCAAAAACAGAATGTTGCCTTCCAACTCAGTCAAATAACGCGAAATAGCCAACATCACTTGATGTAGACACTGCAATCTGCGACACAACTTACGGCAGAAGGACAAATTGTCCAAATTAAGCAACTGCCAGACTCTGCCAGACAAAGCCGGCTTCTCTTCCCCTTGAGTCTCTTGCTGCTCCTTGCTCCTCCTCTTGCAGTTTCTTTTCCTGTTCCTCTCTCTCTCTTCTCTTTTACTGCCAGTTTCAATGTCTCTTTCTCCTCCTCCTTCTCTGTCTCTTTTTTCTCCTGCTCTCTCCTTCTCTCTTTATCTTTCACTGTCTGCTTCATGGTCTCTTCTCTTACTCCTACTCCTCTTTCTTTCTCTGTTTGTCTTTCTCTTTCCCTGTTTCTTTCTCTGTCTCCGTCTCATTCTCGATCTGTTTGTCCATCGCTTGCTATTTATCTCACATGTGTTGCTTTAGCGGGTTTCACTTTCTTAGAATTACTTCCGCAGTGCTTTCGCAGCGGACTGTGCAGAACGCACCCTTTCGGAAACGCGCAAAAGCGGGGCTTTCGCGGCGGGAGCTTCTCTTGGTCGCTGTTGCGATCAGCTTTCGCCAGCTTTCGGGGTCTGCGTCTTGGCTTTCGTGGCGGCCACTACCAGGCTTTTGTGACGCTGCTCAAGTTGTGTAAAGGACAAGTTTGGCAAGCTCGCAAAGGCCAGCCGATGAATCCTAGCCCCCTCCGGCCCTCGAACAAAAATCAGATCCTTTTGCTTTCCTATGGCAGCCCTGTTGGCCAGACGCCGGATTAGGGGCCGGGACCCGAGACCTTGTCAACCGGGGGGGGGGGAGGGGGGGTTATTCATCATGCGCCTCCCCAAAAAAACGAGTTTTCGAGGGTCGGCCCACTCAAAGTGTGCAGAGATTCAAAGATTGAACGTTGCACCCAGGGTCCCAGGCGCGACTGGCGAGCCCGTCCCGAGCCCGCTCCGCACCCGCTCCGAGAATTCGTTGACGCGACCAAGGTGGTTTGCGCGCCACGCGGAAAAGCCCAGTTCGTGCACGGGGCCTCGTAATCTTCGGCCCGCTTCTATTCCCCAGTCCTCGCCTTTTTCACCCGCTGTGCTTCCTAGTCTTAAAGATCGCGCGCGGGCGCATGCATTCTTAGAGAGACGGGGAGAGAGAGAGAGAGAGAGGGAGAGCGAGAGAGACGGAGAGAGACAGAGAGAGACAGAGAGAGAGGGAGAGAGAGACGGAGAGAGACGGAGAGAGACAGAGACAGAGAGAGAGAGGGAGAGCGAGAGAGACGGAGAGAGACACAGAGAGACAGAGAGAGAGAGGGAGAGAGAGACGGAGAAAGACGGAGAGAGACAGAGAGAGAGGAGAGGGAGAGCGAGAGAGACAGAGAGAGAGAGAGAGACAAAGAGAGACAAAGAGAGACAGAGAGAGAGAGAGAGAGGGAGAGCGAGAGAGACGGAGAGAAACAGAGAGAGGCAGAGATGGAGAGAGGGAGAGCGAAAGAGACAGAGAGAGACAAAGAGAGACAAAGAGAGACAAAGAGAGACAGAGAGAGAGAGAGAGACACAGAGGGAGAGCGAGAGAGACAGAGAGAGACAAAGCGAGACAAAGAGAGACAGAGAGAGAGAGAGAGAGAGACAGAGAGAGAGAGAGAGGCAGAGAGAGAGAGAGAGAGAGACAGAGAGAGAGAGGCAGAGTTAGAGAGAGAACTGGCTCAATAAGTGCCAGTGCTGTTGAAGTCCCTTTCATATTGCCAAACGGAAGCCACTCACCGTCAGTGAATCGCAAAATAAACTGAGCGCAGGCAAAACCATAGCCGTATTCAGCAAAAACAACTCTGATCCCTCATCCTGTTGCAACGCAACCAAGTCACGCTAGTGCAATCCCAAAATCAATTGGCTCAATGGCAACACTTCCCTTTGTAATTCCGAACTCGCCACGTTCCACTCAGAAACTGGTCTTGGAAGTGTCGCCGTTCCACCTAGTTTGCCGTTCTTCGGTTCCACCCAGGAACTCATCTTGGCGTGTGGAACAAGACGGGCACGTGCCGAATGGCACGTTGCGAACGCCCCGGCCGGGCAAGGGCCTCCATCATCTCCAAGGAAGCCTCGCAGACCGAGCCTCAAGGCGCTTGCCTCCCCAACCCGAGCCCTTCACCTCCGCCCCCCTGCAGGGCTTATCTTGCTACTTATAGGCCTGGGGGAGGGGACCACAAAATGATTCTATACATATATGGTGACCCCTGTATTCCATAGATATATACTTATATATATATATAATATGTACATGAAGGGCATACACCCTTGGCCTGCATCTCGACCTTGCATGATTTGTCTACACACCCTTGGTGGACACCAATACATGGAACTTTATGTCCAACAAACAGCATGGAGGGTGTTCCCACTGAAATTCATGGCCAAATTTGAGCTTGTGAACGACACCGAATTAACAGCCAATTAATCAGGATTGGATCTGGCTCATTAGAAACCTGAAAACCTTTCGTTGTTAGAGGACTTTTTTCAGAGGACTAAACGATTTGTTTATGGGAGGAGACACGTCAAACGTTTGGTAAAGTTTGGTGTGATGAACTATAATGTAAAATCTCAAATGGTTTCCTTTCGAAAAGTATGCGATACAAACAAACTCCCAAAAGAAAGCCAGGATTTGCCTAATCGAGCGAAATTGAACGGCAGTCACGACACATGAGCGAAGATTCATTGCCGCTCGTGGGACCAACACGCCCAGCGGCAACGAGTCGAATTCCAAGATGCAAAAACCATTTTGGGTGCTGTCTGCCTTCCATTATTTGGGGCATGAGTCGGTGCAAAACATTGGGCGCCCCACGCTTTTCGCAGCGGCCTGTCCGATTCGTGTACCTCAGCTGTCGGGTCGTTTTGAACGCTTTGGAGTTACAGTGTCAAACCGCACCGAAGCGCCTGCCGGTTCGTGTCTCAACCAAGAGCGCATGGATGCCTGCAGAACTGCTCAACGAGGCCAGCATCAACTTTCACAACATCACAACCTGTAAAGGAGGCGTGCCTATCAATAGAAGAACACAATTAGGATGTGGCCTTCGCAGCTCGACAATTGCTGTTGGTGAGTGATCTAATGACATCTGGTCTGCTGTTCAAAGTGTCGTTCACAAACCTCTTGACATGATGTTCAACAACTTTTCTGACGGAATCCTTCTTTGGGGTTTTGGTTCAAAGCAAACTAAAGAGACACCTTTTGGGGGATCCTTGATTTCAAGACAAACCCATTGACCTGGTTGACACCATTTTGCACTGCCTCCTTTGCAAATAATTACTCCAAATACACCTGAGGCCCGTACACAAAGCAGTCGCACCTGCAGCCAGGTTTGGTGGTTCTTGGGCTGCTTTACAGCTCACCCTTATCCAGAATGTAGAAATCAATACAGAAAGTGACACACCACCAAACCAATTCCGGTTGGAAAGAAGAACAATTAATCTATTATAGGACAAGTGTAGGGGTGCAATAGTTGACGAAGAAAAAAAAACATACGAATACATGTGTATTCTTCGGAAATCTTTCACAGCCCCCATGCGCCTCAAATTATATATGTACGTACTGATTTCTCTAATGCTCGCACGTGCTCCTACATGCAGATGCTCGTCATTGAGAAGGTCGGTTTCTCAACAAGATTCAACCCATCGCACACCTACCGACTGCAAACTACGCCATACCGCAAGCCTCCCTGTGGCTTCTTCCAGGACCACAGTGTACTACACCCGACCAAATCAAACCCCCCCCCCCTCTCCCCCGCGCGCGCGCATCCCGGGATTTTGCTCGCGCAACTCCTGCGCCAGCAAAGGGTCGATCTGGTCATAGATCGCATCCTCTGCAAAAACCGCGCAATGTGCCGTAGTTGCCTCGGAAGGGCTCGGCAAACCCGCAAAGAGTTATTCAGAAGTTATTCACAACCAGGGGGCTTCAAGATGGTCCCACTAAATTGGATCGCCTTACTAACACGCAAAGGCTCGGGGTTTATGAATCAGGAGTCACAGGCTGATCAATCCAGTTGCGGTTCAAAGATGGCCAGAATCAAGAAGCACGCCCAAGGTGCAGGCCAACATAGCCAAACGCCCACCAAGCACAACAAACAGCAAGTGGAGTCAAATGAGTCGGTGCCATGCTCTCGAAGTCGCTTGGGAGGAAATGACCAAGAGTCCCACAAAGGCTGCAACATAAAGCACTCTTCCACGGAAGCAATGAGCCTGTTGTGTGTGTGTGTGTTGTGTTGTGTTGTGTTGTGTTGTGTTGTGTTGTGTTTGTGTTTGTGTTTGTGTTTGTGTTTGTGTTTGTGTTTGTGTTTGTGTTTGTGTTTGTGTTTGTGTTTGTGTTTGTGTTTGTGTTTGTGTTTGTGTTTGTGTTTGTGTTTGTGTTTGTGTTTGTGTTTGTGTTTGTGTTTGTGTTTGTGTTTGTGTTTGTGTTTGTGTTTGTGTTTGTGTTTGTGTTTGTGTTTGTGTTTGTGTTTGTGTTTGTGTTTGTGTTTGTGTTTGTGTTTGTGTTTGTGTTTGTGTTTGTGTTTGTGTTTGTGTTTGTGTTTGTGTTTGTGTTTGTGTTTGTGTTTGTGTTTGTGTTTGTGTTTGTGTTTGTGTTTGTGTTTGTGTTTGTGTTTGTGTTTGTGTTTGTGTTTGTGTTTGTGTTTGTGTTTGTGTTTGTGTTTGTGTTTGTGTTTGTGTTTGTGTTTGTGTTTGTGTTTGTGTTTGTGTTTGTGTTTGTGTTTGTGTTTGTGTTTGTGTTTGTGTTTGTGTTTGTGTTTGTGTTTGTGAGTGTGAGTGTGAGTGTGAGTGTGTGTGTGTGTGTGAGTGTGAGTGTGAGTGTGAGTGTGTGAGTGTGAGTGTGAGTGTGTGTGTGTGTGTGTGTGTGTGTGTGTGTGTGTGTGTGTGTGTGTGTGTGTGTGTGTGTGTGTGTGTGTGTGTGTGTGTGTGTGTGTGTGTGTGTGTGTGTGTGTGTGTGTGTGTGTGTGTGTGTGTGTGTGTGTGTGTGTGTGTGTGTGTGTGTGTGTGTGTGTGTGTGTGTGTGTGTGTGTGTGTGTGTGTGTGTGTGTGTGTGTGTGTGTGTGTGTGTGTGTGTGTGTGTGTGTTTGTCGTCCTTAGCCAAAGCGCACTTCCTGACTCCCTGCGAGGCTCCTCCACACTCAACATCCTTGCGGTAGCCAAACGAAGCCGGCGTGCTTCACAGAACAGCCATAATTAATGAATCAATGGTATCTACGCGTGTCCTGAGACCGTCAATATGCACACGTATCTACGTCACTTGGCTACAACAACATAACGGGATCCAGCCCAGCCATGAGCCTGCAAATGAAACCCAAAAAGTTGGGTGCCGCGCCACGCAAAAATAAGCCCAGGTGGTATCTGCATGGGCAGTGACCAAATCCATAGCTTGCAGCTGGGGCACGAGCAATCCATGCAGCCCCTTCCGGTAATTACCCCCCCCCTCCCCCCCTCTCCCCCCTCCCCCCCTCCCCCCCCCCTGACGGCGCCTGCAGGTGCTTCACTTTCTGCGCCCTTTGTAGCGCGTCCAGGCGACGACTTCCCGCTGGCAGGTGAAGCGCCAGGTACACCAAGGGCTCCGCCCGCGGGCACAGGCGGTGGGCAGCCTACCGAATGCGCGCTGCAGCGAGTCGTCCTGGGGGGGGGGGGAATGGAAACGTCCACTGGAACTCATCTGGTTACCGTTGGAGCGTTGAGAGGGCTAGCTTTCGGCGCGCACGTTCCCTCTGGAATTTCGATTCCGGACAATCAGCGGGTGGATGACCATTCTTGTTCCCTAAGTCAAAATATGTTTGGATCATAGCGCGTAGAAGGAGGGAGACCAGGACTTCGGGAGCTTTCTGGATAGCCTACACCCCAGATCTACAAGCAAAGTTCCCAAAGTCATGAAACACCCAAGCAAGTCTGAACCTGTCTAGACATGTCACTGGATCCTATCCCTATGATGCAGGTGGGCATTGATATTGGTTGGAGACAGATGCAAATAAGAAGTCTTTCCCCCAACCCGGCCCATGTTCATGTGCCATCTGCCCAGGACTAGCCATGGGAGCGACAGTCTTACAAGGATTGATGTGATATATATATATATACATACATACATATAAATATAAATAATATGCATATATGTATCTTAAATTGGCAACCGTAGTGGGGGCTGGCCTACCAGGTCAGAATGATGGGAAACCATTGTCTAAACATGGGTGCTGCCAGATCGTCGCTCTGCTAAAAAGTTCCAACGAAGGAGACAAAGCCAAGCAAGCAATGTGTGTTTTGGGCGATGACAAAGCCAAACACAAACTACGTGCGCAGCACCGCGCGAGTGTTTTCCTTGAGCCACGATTGAAGTGCAACTGTGCTGACCATTCGGCTTCACAACGCTTTCACACAAACAAACAGATACACACACATACAGTTGACTACTTGTTTCCAATCATGATCACAATATGGCAGAACAGCTCAGCAGTGGAGTCTGGCCAAAGCTATGTACTGTAGAGAACCAAAAGGCCGGTCGCAGCATTTATGGCTGGGACTGACCCCTACTACCTTCTAATTGACGGGTTTTGCTTTTGGCTTAACATGCACGACACTGTCAAATCTCAACCTACAACTCTTGAAGTCATATCAATTCCAATTGATTTAGCACCCTGGACAAAGAAGATATTCCCAGTAGTGATCCATTCCCTCAAAAACCAAAATAACGAAAGCAAGCAATATGGCCATGAATTTTCATGGGACATCGCCTGAAAAGTGGTTGGTGGACATAAATCCCCACCTAAATGATGTCCACCACCAAAAAACCCATCGACGTCTCCACGTGAGCTGCGGGGTCCCGCGAGCCGCCTCGAAGTGCTCCTGACAGGACCATCCGCCGGCCACGGCGCAGATCTGGGCGAGGCCCAGGTGGGCGCCGTAGCGCAGATAGGAAAACTGGCGCTGCTGGGAGAGGGGCGCGGCCAAGTAGCCTGCGCGTCGGCAGATGGGGTGGGGGGTGGGGGGTGGGGGGTGGGTGGGGGTGCGGGCGGGGTTGGGGACTTGGCTCAAAATGAACGAGGAGAGCAAACCGCAGGTTTTGGTCCATGTTTCCACGTACGATCCATGTTGGTACCGGTTTTTTGAGCCACAGCCAGATGGGACCAAAGCTGCGTGTTTGGGACCGAAAGGGTATGGGCTTCCCGTTTTTGTTGGACTTTGGTTTGTTTGGTTTCCCTGGAAGGCAACTGGAAAGCCTGAAAAATGCAGTAGAGGTGGGAAAGGCTGTACGCCCAAAAGTCCGGTGTCTGCCAATCTGAGGAAAGCAGAGTTCACAATCTGAGGCAGGCAAACAAACAAAGAGCAAAGAGCATGTCTTTTCTGCGAAACCAACTTTGGTGGGGAAGCCAACATGAAACCATTTTCACGGTTCCCCCAAAGAAAACACACACTAAAGGCTTGACTGGATGCATTCACGGCAAGGTATCTGCCGTGATCCTGAGCCTCTGAACACGCAAAGGAGTGGAAAACTCGAGCAAACCCTCCCAGTTGCTATCGGGATCTTGTTGTAGTGATGGGAATTCCATTTTTGAGATCTCCTCAATTGTTCCGTGGGTTCTAAATTACAGCTTCGCAGTATTAAACATCTGAAAGCAAAAGGAAAGCACTTGAGTAACCCGGTACGCCAACCAAATTGTACAAGGCGCTGCGTGTCAATACGCAAGTCATGACCGGACACACGGCATGACACGCATGTGGCCCCTGCCGTCAGTTTATTCAATCGAGGGAGGTGAAGGGTAGACTTTGCGAAGCCGGGCCGACCCTCCAGAAGCAGAACATCCAGCCCTTGGTTTACGGGCCGGGTACGAGGAAATGTCTAAAATACTCGGGGAAAGCAAGCATGCAAGCATGCCGCTTGGCAACAGAACCTTTCAGAAACGAACCAATTTTCTGAAACCACTGCCGTGTTCCACAATCTCGCCCAAAGAATCCGCATGTTTGACCCCCCAAATCGCCTCCCCGACTCCTCACCCGTCCTCACCTCCCCCTAACCTTCCATTTGCTCAAGCCGCTGGAAAAAGTAACAGACAACAGCAGTGATAATCCCCCTTCAAAACCAGCAAAATAAAATAAACCATCTTCTCAAGCAAACAGAAAGAACCCAACACCCGCAACCCACCCCCCCCGCCCGTCCACACCCTCCGGCCGCAGCCCTGGCCGAGCGTCGCTGCCAAAGGCCCTCAGCGACCTCCAGGTGTCCCAATGACCGGTGGGACTGCGCCAAGTAGAAGATGCCGCGCGTGTATTGCCATTCCTCGGTGGCGAAAAAAATCTGCGAGGCCCTGCGAAAAGTGTTGTTTTTTCTTTTAGTGGTTTAATATGGAAAACCCAACTAACGCCAGATAATGTTCAACCACCTCTCTGAAGCCCCTGAAATACCTAGTTCAAGCCGTGGTGTCAACTGGCAAACTCAAGGACCTCCTTTTGCTTTCCCTTAGACCAGGGTCTGATTCTTTAAGCACATGTTGCCTTACTCCGCTCACAATCCCCGCTCTCATCTGTCTAGGCAGGAATCCTGCCTCATTGTCATACGAGCATTGCGAACACATCGGAATCCACACTGTTGGATGTGTCTTGCAATAGGGGCCCAACAAATCGGGTGGTATCGTCCTAGCCATCTTTAAGACAGCCACTTAAAGGCCGCCCACTAATTTCACTGTGTTGGCTACGCCATCGCAGGTGTTCCCAGCCTCTCGCAAAAAATCATAAAGGAGCTCCGGAATCTCTGTTGGCCTTTCCCCTGCCAAAGCTTCTTCGCCTTTTGCTGGTTACAGCAGTGGGGAATTGGAAGGTTGATGCGGTCGAGAAGAGAAATCCAGGAATCATCTTGAAGGTCGGCCCCTCGTGGCACGGATCTGAATGATTGAGTGTTTCTCAAAATGGTGCTTCGACCGAAAGGGAAACCAAAAGGACCTGTTTCAATTTTAGGGAAACCGCCATGTTTGAGAACGCCCCATTGACCCTTGTGTGCAAACATTTTGGTTTTGGTTTGAGGGGAAAACACAAGGAACCATTAGGACATAGGACGTGGAACCATTCAAGGGGGTCTATTTGCCTTTCGTGAAAAATGATCGACCTCGTAGTGAAGGATTCCTTTTTGAGGGGGTCGCCAATTTTCTCGCCAATTTTGTGGCAAAAAAAAACTGGAACGATTCACATTGAACCCCCGAGGGGTTTCAGCCAAGCGAGCTCCAAAGGGTCAACAGGTCAGCTTCCATGACACAGGCGTGTGCGTGTGCGTGTGTGCCGGCGCAGCGCGCGTGCGAGCGTTTCTTGTGTTTTGATGTTTGATCCTTTTTGGGGTTGCTTGAAAGGGAAACAGAAGGCAAAACCACGATTTTGGGCATGTGAATCTTGATTAACCTTGTGGGAGAGGCCCTCCTTAAAAAAAAAGAAGGAAAGAAAAAAGAAAAACATGGCCTATCGTGCTTGGAAACCAATGCCGAGAGCTTCATCCAAATGCGCATCGGGCTTGTCCAAGTACTGCTCCAGCAAATGCACATCCTGCATCAGCCTGACAGACACGATTCCTGTGAACAAACTCCAAGTTGCCCCGTCCAGCCACCCACACTTTTGTGGTTACCAGGTTTCAGTACTCACCCAAACAAAAAAAGGCAGCATTGTTCGAAGAGGATGATCTTTCTATTGCCACTACCCTGACTTTTTTGCTTGAATCGGTATTCTCAAAGTGGCTACAACACACATTAGATACGGCACGTCCTTCATTGCCAGTACATATTATCAATCCCTTTTGTCTTTTGTCCAGCAAAACAAGGAAGAACCCTCTGGCCAATGCTTCGCACCAACGTGCGACATGCTCGCCCAACCCGTCTTGATATGAGTCCCGGCCAACACTCGTCGTATCTCCGACCCGCAAGTTTGGCGAGCGACCCCAAGTTCCTAATGATTTATAATTGTGTGGTGTTGGGTGTGACTTGTCGAGGGTACTCTTCTTGGGTTGGTCTAAAGGAAAAAGCAAAGGGACACCGTTGCCATTTTGTGTTTTTGCCCCCAAGTCGAGCCAAACCCACGTCATCATGTTTGAGCGTTGCTCGTCTGCCTCGCCTTTGTCGCGTTTTCTCGGGCGTCTTCTCCGCGTCATGAGCAATATAGAAGCTACCTGCACTCGGTGAACAAATGGAGCAAACTGGCAGATGGATGGGCTGCCTCGTGAGAACATGTCAAGATACAAAGTTTGAATGGGAGAATGACTGGGACCGCGGATTAAGCAAGGAAAGCGAATATGCAACACTGAAAGGCTTGCTCCTGCCACCGGGCCAGTAGGAACTCGCATGAAAAAGTGACAAGACAGGCAAGAGGCGATGGCAATTGACACCATGAAGTTGCAAATGCCAAAGCAATGACAGCTGCAACGCAGCTGGAGGAGACAATATTGCGCTTGCACCCCAGTACTGTACCATGTTTGGAAGCACGAACCCTTTTAACATTAGACCCTTGATATTTCCCGGCAAGTGTTGTAGGCGGTGCATACCCACTGTGACAAACATGTTGGAGCGGCCAAAGTACCATGAATCAAGGGACTCGCCAGCACTACCCTTTTGTTTCTCCGGAAAGGAACCCGTTCTTCGCTCCAACTTGCACCGTGGCGGTTCAAACAACAACACGAAAAACATCAGCGCGCCCGGATTGGCTCAAGTGAAGTGCTATGTAACCTGTTATTTACTCAATGTATGTCATGCAAACCATGTGTGTAGTGTATGTAGTGCATGTAGTGTATGTAGTGTATGTAGTGTATGTAGTGTATGCAGCGTATATAGTGTATGTAGTGAAATGCCATGCATGCATGCATGGAGGTAATGTAATGCAATGTAAGCGTACTGTAATTAACGTATTTGTCATGTAATGTAAAAATACTGTAAATGCTGTGGACGTGTTTTGTGCGGGTAGGCAACGTAATGTACTGAAATTGTATGTAGTGTATGCAATGAACGCAATGTATGTACTGTATGTAATGTATATAGTCATATAGTGCAATGTCATGGGATGTGTTGGCGTGCTATGTCGTGTTGCTTTATGTAATGCAATGCAACGTATATGCTGGCATGCATGTATGTACGTATTTGAATTGTCAGCCATCTTCCGGCCGGAAAAGGATCGAGTTTGGCGCCTAAACAGGGACCGCCAGTCATGACTCGATAATCCGACACCTGGGTAATGGATTGCGGCTGTGTGGATCGTAGCGTTGAAAGGGTACAGTGTATTTCATGCAGTGGATTCTAGCCTATGTATAGTGGATGGTAGCCTATGTACTGCAGCAACTGCTCACTTCATGTTAGGCTTGAACAAATCGACTCGACATTCGAAACGCCCTGAAACGCAGTCGCCTGCGATCACATCCGGCATTTGCGGAAGGCTCGAGGTGTCTGTGTCCCCGACGTAGCTGATGAAGAGATCGTGGCTTAACGTCCGCACAGGATGGATGTAGGCCTGCGAACAAAAAGCCACAGGGGCAATGCAACATGACAAGTGCGCTGTCCGTTTTCAGATCCACTGCTAATTCTTGGAAACCTTGTACTGGGTTAAATGGAAACCCAAGCACCAAACCAACTAAAAACATCTAAAAAGCTGAGGAACCGGACGCTGCGAACAAATCGCAACATGACCAATTGAGGATATGGCGTGGCAGAACTCCTGAGAGGTCTCTCTGGCTTAAGGGTGGGATTTACAATGAAGTACCAGCCGGACCCCAAGAGTGTTGCCGCAACAGTCTTACCCCATCTTGCCGGGGCACACACAGAACGGACAAACTCCCAGAAAGGTTATACCCTATCTGGGTGTGTCTCAAAAATGGAGACCCAACAAATGTGCTTTTTTTGTGTCTGGTTCGCCTTCCAAACCAAAAAGGGGTTGTCCGAATCCCGAAGCATGCGCCACCCTGCCTCGTGCGTCACGCCGACGTAGCGCCAGGAGTTGTTGTCCCTTGGCCACTCCGCCGCTGCATGGTTCCGAGAGCGCATCAGCCGCTCTGACCAGTACCTGAATCCGCAAACGAAACCATCTGGGTGTGTCCCCCCTTTTTGGATTCTGAATTTGGAATCCAAAAGCTCTACATAGGGACCCCATTTTACCAAAAGGACACCTTCTTTTTTACCCGCGGGAATTGGTCCACAATTTTGAGACGCCCAGGTTCCGTGTGATGCGAATCTTCATCCCAGTCCTGGGGTTTTAGACCCAAGCGGGGTCTGAGAAGGGCATGCTGGCACGCTGGCACTTGCCATCTGATCCATCTGAGCGCCAGATTTCTGTTTTTGTTTTACAAAAAAAAAAGCTGGTTCTGCTGGTTCAGGTCGAAACCTTACTGTAGCCCCCCATCAGCGGAAACAAAGCCTAGTAAGATGGCCAAAGTTCGGGGCGGGGGTTGGGCGATCATTTCGAAGTGGCCAACTTGGCTTAATAAACTCAATGGCATGTGGGAACTGGCTTGCGAGTTCGTCCTGAAAGCAAGCATCCCAAGACGCAACTACAAACACACATGCTCCTTGGGTGAAGGGAAGCCTCAAATGGGCGTTGAGCCCAGAATGTCACGCTTTCCTTTGGCTTGTGCGGCTGTTTGATCCACCAAGTCGAGCTGTGCTGAATTATGTACCTCGCCGAAAGTGTGCACAGCAACATGTTACTGGAAATCCAGGCTGCCAAAGATGTCATCACTCAAGGTACGGGTGACCTTTGCGTGGGCTACTCGAAAGAACCGACCACAACATCTGAATTCTGGTGATCGGCTTCCATGGTCTTTCCCTTTCAAGCCATCAACATGTGGGCTCCCATAAGGAGCAACCCATAGGGGGCCCGACTTGGACCCACACAGCGACTGGGTCCACTGAGCTATCGTCTGATTTTCGGGGTCCAAGTCATGCGAGCCGACGGGCACCAGGTGTTGCCCATGAACACGCGAATGTTGAAGACGTCCTAGAGACAGGGACAAATATTGTGAACACATAAAAAGAAGAGGACAAATGAAAACTCTGAAAATGTGTATAGACTAAAATGTATTCATGTGTGCACCTCATTCTATTTTCTCAAGGTCTTGGAAAGCCCATGGATCCAGCCACCAACATGCAGTTGTTGAAAGGGAACCTGCAGAGTAACAATCGGCAAAGCATACGCTAACAGGGACAGGCACACATGATTAAACCACAAATTGGGTGTGTACGCGAACTGATTGTTAATCATTGTAATGACTGGTTGGGTTAATGAGGGGTCAACAATGGATTTGAACATCCAAAGGGATTTCTAGGTTGATTTCAGGACGCAGGGAACCACCATCCGGCGCAAGGATCAGGGATTTTTCGTTTGAAGAAGCTTCGGAGGCGGAAAAGCCAGTGGCATGTGGCTTTGTCCAAGAGGGAATCTCGCACTTATCGGGAAACCAAAAGGGAGCCGCCCTTCCCAAGGGGCAAAACACCCCGTTCAGTGGATGTCTATGTCTTCTTTGTGAGCTTCTCAGAAACAATAAACGCAAATGATCTTGACAGAGGAGGCCAAACAAAAAACATACACACACCCGCATGCGCGCGCACACACACCCACACACCGACCCACCGACAGACAACACGCCACACCACACCACACCACACCACACAACACCACACAACACAACACAACTTGCAAGGCCCCTAGCAGCGTCAAAGCCTGGGGAATCTTACGAAGTTCCACATGCTGTTGCTGTTGGTGGATGGGAAGTCCCTTGGTTCTGAAGAGAGAAGCAAAAACAACTTGGGTTTGTCTCAAAATTGGGGGGACGACCCAGACGGGCTTTTTCCGTTGTGTCGTCTCTTTAGGCCCACTCCAACAGAGGTACCCTCAGAAACAAGACACACCACTTAAATTATGTGTGCAATCAAGGGTCATTTCGCCCGCAAAGGTTTCAGAGAGGAGGCCCCAAGGTTTCAAATTCAGCTTTCAGACGGCGACCATCCGACCGATCACTTCGTCATGCACAACTAGGGGCACGCCATACACCTCAAGACGGCGGTTGTCCCAAGTTCAAATGTAACTTGCTACCCTGTCCACGAATATAGGACCAAGGGCCTCTGGGAAGACGCTTGTCCCTAAGAAGAGATCCTCTGGTGGGTTCCATGTTAGTGACCAGGACAGTCTGTTAAAACAAAAACAAAAACGCAACTGTTCACAGTCTGGCCACAGAGTGCCAAGCTTTGCGGAGCCTCTTTTGTCGCTTCAAGATAACAGATCGCACCCCAGGCACATGCGCACATGTGCATGTGATCGCGCTTTGTACCCTGCAGCTACACGGCTCAGGGGCTCTGCTTGGCTCGCAGATTCACCTGGGATCGGCCCTCAGCATCTTGGTAGGGCACCTCAGTGAGCAAAATGAGCATCGACCTGGAATGCTACGCCTAAATGACATCCCCTCGCTGCCAACAGCAAGCGCTCGCTTTCTGCACTTGCATCCCCTTGGGGAAAGATCCAGACTTGAAGCGCTTCTTGGAGCAGTCAGCCCCACCCAACTCCTCAGCCCCACCCCCCCGAGATCCGAACAGCACCCTTGGGCTTCTTTTGAACTAGAAGCTCACCCCAGCGTGACCTCCCCGTGTCAAGGGCCCCGATGTGTTTCAATTTATTGAGGCTCATTTAAGCTCACGGTACACCCCGAAGGCCGTCCGAATGACAAGTCCGAATGACACCAAAACCCCCATTTCAAGAGGCATTTGGTGCGGGAAAAAAGAAAAGCTTCGGTGTCACAAACAGAAAACTTTCCTCACGGTTTGCTCTCCCGATGCCCACCCCATGGCTTCACTTCGGTTTCCCGAGACCATTTTCTTCAAGCCGCACCTCAGCACACCAACTTGCCCACCCTTCCGTTTTGGTCCTCCCAAGGCCATTCCGTGTTGAATTCTCATGACCCGAAACTGGGTACTAAAAACAATATGACGTGATTTCAGGGACGGTGCTCAGTAGGGAATGACCTTCCGGTTTTGGGAATGAACCGTTTCGGAATTCCCTTGAAGAAAACCAAATTGGGGATTGGTTCTTTCTTCGAACATCCTTCCATTTACCATTCCCTGCCTAGCGAACGAACCAGCAATGGCGATCCGTCTTCCCCGACGAGCGATTCTCGCTCGGCCCTTTCTTCTTCTGTCGGAGGCACGACCTCGAAGGGCCGAATGCCGCAGGCGGCAAACTCTCGGCGCATCCGTTGGCTGTGGCTCTCCCATTGCTGCTCCGAGACCTTGCTCTCCACCTGGGGCATGGGAACGGGTGAGAAATAGAATTTTCAGTGCCTCGATTCATTTTTTGGGTGCTATGATCCATTTTGAAAATAAGGTCACTTTGTCCTAAATCAAAGAGGTCACTTAAGCCATTTGAAGGGCACCTGGACAGGGTTGCCCTCCACAGCAAATCCCCTCCCAGTCCGGGCAAATCAAGCAGCAGCCACACGTGAATGCGAATGACACTCACACAGGGGAAACCGACGCTGGGCAAATCGGGCCGCAGTGACACGCGAATGACACTCACGCAGGGGGGACCGGCACTAGCGTAAGTGACCTCGTCAAGGGGTAAGTGACCTCGCCAAGGGGTAAGTGACCTCGATTCGCACCCCCCACTGACACTCAAATGACACTCTTTGACACGCAAAACGCCATGTTCGGGCCATTCTGGGTCGGCCCCAATCAAAATTGGTAATTGTCACACTTCGACACGGGCAGCTGTTCGATTTCAACAGGATCCCAACCCCTATCAAGCCACAAAGGGCACTTAGCAAACGAATCAAAGGGTCCCTTAGGGCACCGACTCGGCCTTAAGTGCCCTCGATTCAAAAACAAGTCAAGTGCCCGGCATTGAAGGGCACGCAAATCATGCCGGTTTAAGGGATTGTTGGGTTCATTCTCATGGTCCGGGAGGAATTGCTACGTGGTTCTGGTTGTAACCCACCCATGCCATGGTTGTAAGTCCCCTATAACCAGAGTTACTAACCATTTAGCCAAGTCCAAGACCATCTAAGTAGGCTTGATCGAATGTTAATGCTTGACACCGGTTGGCTTCTTGCAGCAAGCGCACTGCTTGCCACCTGGGTCCAATCAATGCCAAAGCTTTGTGTGCCCTTTTGCTAAAGCTGCTCAGTCGGGGTGTGGAGAAGCATGGGGGTTTTGCACAAGCTGTGCGGGGGACGCACGGCTTTTGGGGCCTCAGCGCGCTTTCTAGACTCTGAAGCCTGTGTGGGTGTCCGAGAGACTTCCCCTGCGAGATGGTTTACCGGCCCATGAAGTGCTGGGTTTACCTTGCACCTTCTTCTGTTCATATAAAATCACAGGTCAACTTCCGGCCCCCAGTACCCCTGCCGCTTTCGAGGAGACAAAGGAGAAATAGCTGCGCTTCAGGGAGGAAAACTTTAAAATACGCAGATGTTCCCTACAGAAAGTAAAACACATTTCTTTCAGGACGCGAAAACCGGCAGCCCCGTCTTCCCCTGAAAATGAGCGCCCGGCCGACTGCCAGCGGATGCCGTCTGTGTCATGAGCCAACTGCTCCACCGCCTCGGGGCAGGTTACGTCCATGTTTGCCCTTGCTCCCACAAACATAGCACCTATGGTGAAGTATCTGAAAGACCAGTTTCCTCTTGAATGAAGTCTAAATACAGGCAGGTATGGTTGTACGTACATACGTATGTATGTCTGTTTGTCTGTGTGTCTGTGCGTCTGTGTGTATGTATGTCTAACTGTGTGTCTGTGTGTCTGTGTGCCTCCATGTCTGTATGTCTGTATGTCTGTATGTCTGTATGTCTGTATGCCTGTATGAATGTCCGTATGTCTGTATCTCTCTATGTATGTATGTCTGTATGTATGTCTGGCTTGCCTGTATGCATGCATGCATGCATTCAAGAAAGGAAGGAAGGAAGGAAGGAAGGATTCATGGATGGATGGATGGATGGATGGATGGATGGATGGATGGATGGATGGATGGAGGGATAGATGTGCTAATGCGTGGGGTAGTGTAACGTAATTAACTGTAATGTAACGTAAGTAAAAACATTGTTTACGTGGAGGTGGGTTTGGTGCAACCCCCCTACAAATCAAATGGCACCAACTGGGTGAGCGGGGGGACGTGAATCCAGAACGAGACACAGCCCAAAAAACGGCCCCCTTTTCACTCACTGCTTGAGTGGTTGCAGCTATCACCTGACAGACACAAAAACCAGGTCCTGGGCGGTGAACCAGGGGCCAACCCTTCAAACATGCTTAAACAACTGTTGTTTAAACAAACTCCTTTTGCTTCCCCTGAGGGTGCTAGGTGCTACTGGTTTGATCATACTTGGCCCCACTCTGTTCTTGGTTTCTCTTCCCTGACCCCTTGTAGGCTTAATCAACGTCCATGTCTTGCCAAACGGACAGTTTGCGCGTCTCACTCGGTCACCGACCGTACCTGGGCCGCCCAAACCGATCCCCTGATGAAAGTGAATACCTCTTGATGGGCTAAATACGGAAATCCAACCACTAAATAAACCAACCAAAGAGATCTAAAAAGCTGAAGTTGAACCGAATGATTCGGGGGCCGAGTCGCAACCACCCCCCCCATCGAAGCGGCCTCGGGGATGGCCATCTCGATCTGCGCTTCGGGGCTTTTGGGCAGCCAGAAGGACACGCTCATCCAGTCCTGCGCGAAGCGTTGAAACCTTTTCTGGGTGGCCCAAAAGCTTCACAGGTGATCACCTTGGATCTCGACTAAATATGGACCATGGGAAAATGAAAGGTAGGTCAGGTTTCTCCAAGCTCTGTATTGCAAAATGACAGAGTCAGCGCCAAATGCGCTGATGAAGAATCTTCTGGGATGATAAAGCCCGGGTTCACAGCAGCCTTGGCCAGACTTACACCCTTGGCTTCAGTCTGTCTTTTGAGTGGGTACCCTTTGGCCCAGTTGAAAGGAAAACACAAGGAAATTATATTTTTTGG